TTACAATGAAACAATAAAATATATCTATTCCTGATACTCGTATCTTTAATATTAGAATGAACACTTGTTTGATATCGAAATAATTCTAATTAATCCGAAAATCGGAGGTCCGAAAGCGATAAGAGGTAATTGGGCTTCAAATTCTAACTGAATTACCCGTGCAAGTAACAATTACTAAAGTTATTTCGTATGCAGATTTATTTCACAGCTCCGGAGCAGGTGTAATGGAAGACTCGGTTCCCCCTATAGATGATGAGCTGGACGTATTTGAAGGTGTCCCACGTCATCAAAAAAAGGTAAGATAACATATAAAGACAGATTCAGTACAGAGACTGCGTCTATTTTTATAGGTTTATGATTTTCAATGAACAATTTTTTGTACCCGTTGGTTGGTTCGGAAGCCAACGACTTACGATACGGTTTTTGTCTGTACCACATTACTTGATCGACTTATTAAATAAATACGTGTATTTCTAAACCAAATTATATGATTCGGCAACATTACAGTATTGTTTTCATTCAGCCCAATCGGTTTTGAGGAAAACAATCTTCTATTTCAGGCGTTAGGTACCTATTAATGCATAGCGAGCTTGAATTACTTTAATTAGATAAACTGATTCGTAGATGAAAAGACATTATTTGATAGCTAGGCCAATTTAAACACCTACTTAGTATTGGCACTCACTTTCGAATGTTCTCAAAGTTGTAAGTTAACTGAAATTTACTTAGTTCTAGATTATGTTATGTTACATTATTATATTACATTTATTTTTTAAATGTCTAAATATTAAATTTCAGGCCTCTGCCATGCAGTGGGACGATCATGGCTGAAAATGTAATAAAATAAATAAGTAAAATATTTACTCGGCTATTGGTAGTATGCCATAATTTAAAAGTGGAACGACGCGGCGATGCAAGCCTATAAAAAATAAAAAATAAATAAATATTCACTGTTCGCTCAGGACGTGCGAGTTTCTTTTTTCATCATCATAACATCACGCCTTTTATCCCCGAAGGGGTAGGCAGAGGTGTACATTACGGCTTTTAATGCCACCGTACAATGTAAAAAGTTTCTTTTTTCATGGACAGAATTTTGATATTAAGTTCTTACATATAATTCCATCTGAAACTGGTATCTACTAAAAGAGTCGACGACAAAATCTTCCGGTAAAATCTGCGCAGTTTCGCGAACGTGTTATAATGATCAATTATACCTACTTCCATAATAAGTTATCATTGATACAGTGCATGAAAATTAATAACTTGATTAGCACTTGTTGCAAATTACGTGCTGTGTCGATAAGATTGAAGGTTTCGATTTAAATGTCTACAGGCAGATAAACTGTTCATTAAGTAAAATACGTTTGTTGACGAAAAATGTTTATGAATCATGTAAAGTCAGATGTGAAATCATCTCTTTATTAATGGTTTTTGTATGGTTACTTATCTAAGTACTATAATGTGCCAAACAATCTTAGGTGAGGCGGGAGGGAGTGTCAGACTTACTGGACTAAAAACCACCCCGTTGTTTCTCCTGTTACGTTAGTTAGGTTCTCCGCGACGCTTAGGTAGAGTTAGACTGTTTCTTTGGATTAAAAGTGAAATTACTATGCTAATGGATATTTCACGACGGTTACACAAGAAGCATTAAAACTTGGTAATTACTTACATTGAACTAGAAAAACCTATTGTATTGTCAGTTAAAAAGGTCCCAGGAAGTTTGTGTTTGTAGTTTAACAACTCCTAAAAGCTAACAAATGGACAAATAACGAAAGTCATTTCGTACTAATAGCAATTTCCATCAGTTTTGTTTCTGTCTTTTTTAAAATTGTTTTCGAAATATAAAGTTTATCGAAAATAAGCAATACTATAATAATCTACTAGGTACTTAGTTATAGATTCCGAATTGGGATTTTAAATTACCACGCCTTGTATATTGTTTAAATAAACTGTCAAACACCGCGAGGACACCGGTGACCGCAATCTATTGTTCTTTAATTGTGTCTATAATGACGATTTCTTTTCGCTTCGGTACTTTTTTGCACTGACCAGTGACTGTTCTCACTGCATCATTTGAAGGTTGAGTAGGGAAAATGTCTGTGGTATTGAACATAGGCTAAGCATATCTATGTACCTACACTTGTTGCATAAAATTAAACAAAAAAATTAAAATATGTTGACGAGATTTTCAGTTGAAGTCCTTCATTCCAGCAGCAGACTGTCACAATTTGTTGATGACGATAACGCCCTATTTAATAAGTTATTTATTATACTTTTTAATTTCTAAGTGTATTTTATCTACGTAGGTACTGGTATTTAAACGCACCTGCTACCTAACTTAAGTAAGTAATCATTTTACATTCGGATAGTGATAAAAGATACCTCTGTTGATTATTTTCCTAAATTCCTTAATTTAATTTAGTACCTATACGTATTTAATGTCACGGAGAACCTAACGGGTAACCGGGGCTCAGGCTCAACGTGCAGGAGAAGGAACGGGGTGGTTTTTAGTCAGTAAGAGGCTGACACTCCCTCCCGCCTCACCCAGGCGGGAGCAGTCATTCGATGATTTTCTCGCCTTAAAAAAAAATACGTATAAATTAATCAAGATGAATAGCAATCTAGGTCTTTACTTGGCGTGTCGGTAACGGTTACTTATAGGTTTCTTACTCAATTGAATAATATATATTTCTTAGGCTTAGACTGACGCAGAGGGTTTGTAGTCACAAAGAGGCTATTAATTAAGAGGTATTGTAACACTTCTTACAAGTCCCCTCAATTTGATTAAATAGCTGCAACTCCTCTACTATAGAGGACTATTCCTATCAGGGGATACTGTTGTTCACAACACTACTTCTGTTCTGATTCTTAGTCCGGGTAAGTACACCATGAAGTATGAAAGTGTTCCATTTCATAGAACGAAGAAAAACTTACATCTCCTTTCTTCAAGTTTCTTCAAATATAAGTACATCTACTACAGTATTTCGAACATCGAAATGTTTTTGGGTACAATATATTTTACGTCGTCAATTACCCGGGAACACCTGTGTCCCGGGATGGCCGGGATCGATAGGCGGAGTCGACCGGGATTGGCGCATCCCTACACTGGGCGGAGCCGCAGATGAAGATACAACGAAAGCTTTAACATGGATCTATCTGATTTGGTTTGATTTTTTATATTTAGAACAAAATCATAGAATTTAATTAAACCAAAAAGAATGTCCTTCAACTGTATGATGCATGTCTTAAATAGGTCATGAAACTTGTTTTAATTTTTTTATGGTTTCTATCAAGGTGATCAGTTCACGATAGAATAGTGGGCAATACAAATTCAATTCACTTTTTACATGAGGTAGACATACACTTGAAAAACGTACGTCCTTCTGAAATAATAAGGGGAAAATAAAAAAAAATGTTTTATAATTAAAATACTAAGCCTACATGCCTTCTTAAATACAATGTCGCAATCATTTAGTAATTAATACAATTTCACCTTGGATATAATTTTAATCACCTAATCGGTCAGTGTGATTTCGATAAAAAATGGAAACATATTGTTTGAATGGAATATTAATGACACACTTCGATTTCAATTCATTATTTTACTACTTAGGTAAGCAAATTATTACCTAAACATGCAGTTCCGTTTGTAGATCCTGGTTTAGGCATTTGTATTGTCTAGGTCAGAGTCTTTAATTTTGATCGCATTGCCTATGATAGGTAGCATATAACATGTTATTCCTATATTTATACTAGCTGTAGGAACAACTTCGTCCGCGTGGAAAATGTAGCCTAAGTTACTCATTAGTACATCAGCTACGTGTCAAATATATCCCGTCGAGATCAGTCCAGTTATTTCCGAGATCAGCCAGAACAAACAGACAGACCACACAAATTTAAAACAATGTTACTTTGTATGTATGTATTGTACCTGTGCATTTACATTCATATGCATGAAGTAAAATGTGGTTATTTTGTATTAGACAGACACTCCAATTTTATTTATACGTATGTATAGATGTATAAATGAATAGTGCTCTGTAAAAAGTTACGTATAATGTCCCCCGTATATCCCCAAGCGGTCACCAGTGACCGCTCTCCACTAACTACATTATAGACCTTATTTCCAATGTTTAGAGACTACTTTTGTATGAACAAATTTAGTGGATGATTTTCATCAATTTCTGGTCCAGACTTTCCATACAAATTTACCTACAAGTGGAGTTACGAAAAGACGTATCACCTGATGATATGTAATCAGCACTGCCTATGGACACCTGCAACACCAAAGGTGGTACACGTGTGTTTCGTCCTATTAGGTTGGTACCTACTTAATTTTTTTTTGTATAAGCCGGTAAACGAGCAGACGGATCACCTGATGGTAAGCAATCGGCGTCGGCGTCACCCATGGACACCTGGAATACTAGAGGCGTTGCAAGTGCGTTACCGGCCTTTTGGGATTAGGAATTTGAGTATTGTTGGGGATTCTGGGATTGGGGAAGGATAGGAGGTAACCTCACTCACATGACGAAACTTGTGGGAAAGAAAACCTCAAAGAAAATGTGAGGCCGTGTTATCACTCCGGTCGAGTCGGCCCATTCGTGAATTTATCAATGAAAATACTTTTTACGTATCTAGGCTACGTATTTGAATGAAAAAAACTGCCTAAGAGCACACAAATATTGTCTAACATATGTCCGTATTGTGTAATTTTTAAAAATTTTAAAGTAGTTTCAGGTGAGTTTTATAGTTTTTTAGAGTAAAATCTCCAATAAAGCGTTGGCCAATCCAAGAAACGGCTAACGAGGCATGCAAGTCGAAATAGAATAAAAAATAACATCGTTAAATAATATTAACACTACTTAATCCAAAAAATATAATTTGTATTCCAGTCTTAATATGACGTTGGTTGCCGCCCTCAACAAGAGGGTTGGTCCAGCCCCTCTTTGAGAGGATAAAAGGACAGGGATGCTGTCCTCCCGACTAGTGTGAATCTGATAGAGATACCGTGAAGTGATCCTGACTGAATTAGCTATAGTTTATCAGTTAATTTTCTTTTAGTTTTTAAAATCCATGTTCAGTGTTTTTGAGATGCAAAATCCCATTTGATGATTAAAGTTTTTGTGCAGAATACTTTAACTAGGTATGTGCTAAAGGATTATTATCTGCAGTAAAGAAAATGTGAGTACAAACAGTTTTATTCATTTTTGCAACAATACTGACAAGCAGAATGGTAAAAGAAAAAGAAAGATAAATGCTCCGTCGTTTTTACTAAGATTTGCTGCCATAATCCTACTAATATAATAAATGCGAAAGTTTCTGAGAACGTATGTGTGTGTTTGTTTCTCTTTCATGCAAAACTAGTTATCAAATTCAAATGCACTCTAGAACAGGGGTAGAATATAGTCTGGAATATTACATAGGCGCTTTTTATCCTACGGAAACGCAGGCGTAGTCGCTATTAGAAATTAGTCCAGCATACATTTTAGATTAATCGATTTCAATGTTGATAACGATATTAACTAAGTATTAAAATAAAATGAATAAGATTTTTTTATACTTATTATTTCAATTTGTAAAACATTGGGTGATCGTGTAATTGGGGACTTCTTTTAGGCAAGACATGCATGTGTTAGGAAACCTGCACTTCCATAGCAATTTGTTAGAAAATGAACAAATTAAATTTATTTTGTTAATATTAACTGATGACTGTTGACGAGGCGATGGAAAACAGATTTTGTGATGGAAAAAAGGTTCTGTCTCTTTAGTTTTCGCCTAGACTATAGGAGTAGAACTACCAAAGAATATCTAAAAACCACGTTTAGGTAACAATATAAATAAACGCACCGTAATTATACATGATAACTGATAGCAGTCTTATTACCACTACACGTCAAATAACTAAAAGAATTTATAATCCAGACCACCTGAAAAGATAGAAGTTAGGTATATGACTTTTACCTACTCCCAGGGACGTCATATTGACAACTAGGTACCTTATTTCCATCACCAGTGATTAACGAAGATAGTCAAGCAGGTGTACAAAAAATTGTTTCGATACAACCAGATAATGTCGCTTGATACCTACCTTCTTAATGACCGCATATTTCAAATCCAACTGTTTATAACGAAAACTTAATGTTTTCTAAATAGAGAAAAATAAACGTCCATAATAAATTCATGGAGGCAGTGACGTAATAATCGAGTCTAATATTCCATAAAAAATAAATACTTACATAGAATATACATAGTAGGTAATGTTGTACACTTCACCAAACCTATTACTAGACTAAGAGTTTATATCGCATGCATGAAAACTGAGAAATGCTTACCTTAGTAGTCGCAAGACATGCAACTTCTGCTAAGATTATTAAAATATTTTATATAACTGATCAAATCATTCTAATCATATCAAGATTCCCCCATATCCTGAAACACACTTGCGATTCCTCTAGTGTATATCTAGTGTATATCTCTACTCTCGGTGGTCATCTACCGATGGCCGCCGCTGATCGCTTACCATCAGACGATCCGTCGGCGGTAGCAGATGGTTTGCTCCTTAATCCAAAAAACCTAAGTTTAGCACTTTGAAAAGTTTGCAGGGTAAAGAAAGGAAAAAAACCAGTAACGCAAGAGAGATATGTCGTATTCTAGTGAGCTACGAGGAAATGAAAAAATGGCGGCTAATCCAGAAAGTACGGATTTTCAGCCGAGTTTAGTTGAACCATTGAGGTTCAGCTTACCTAGAAAAAAACCGTTAATTAAATCAGTCTAGAGTCAGAATTGGGTAGGACTTGCCAACTAGTCAAATTCAATACTTTTTCGAACTGTCAAAAAGACAGTTTTCGATGAACTAGAGACGAAATTGTGTATTGTCACGTCACGCATTTTAGCGTCAAACAGCATACCTAGGTACTTATTTCTCAACAATTTGCTGGAAAAATACTAAAATTAAGTTGCGTCATAAAATCAATTAATGAAATTGTGATTATTTTTTAATATTTTATTGTATTGAACAGTCGAAATAATTTATTTTTAAGTAAATAAAGTACCCAATTTACAAATCTTTAAGTTTCTCCTCCTCCTTCCTTCCGTCCTTTGACATTTTTAAAGGCAACTTGTTAGAAAAGATACTCCTTGTCCTGTACAAAAGCATTGTAGGTACCATCATATTATTTTATTGCAAATAGTTACAAGCAACCCTATAAGAGAAATAAGACGTATGTTTTGATTTCCTATCAAATCGAATTGACTGGCCGCAAGGGTAGAGTGCTCGAGATAAATATTACAACACGCGTTCACACCTACAGCTAAGCGAGCTCTTTAGGGAATAATAAATCCGTATTTATTCTCTTTATATCGCCCCAACCCTTTGGTAATCGAATCATGTCCTCTAACCGTATCGAATCGATTCGTTTGACGAGTGCGGACGCCTCTATTTGTTGCTATTCCGATTCTTGTATTACAGTTCTATAACACTTGACTGATAATAATGATTGGTTGCGTTATCTATGGGTAAAGTTTCCTTTTGTTTGCAATTGTTTTAATGGAAGTATGTAGTAATATTCTCTTACTTTTAGAACGAATTTACACTCACGTCTTTGTCGCATGTAACTACTACCTATGTACCTCTATATATGACCCTTGCGTACTTCTTTAACTTCCATTATAAAAAAACATAACATTAGCCCGCGGGTTAATTTAATTTAGTACTTTGTTGTACCTACTTGTCCTTTTTTAATATCTGGAATTATAGCTATAAAATAATATTTTATAATAACATTGCCCCACATTTTCTCCTGTGTCGTGGGTGCGTTTAAAAACATACAAGTTTACATACACATGACACCCAGGTCTGAAACAACAATCTGTGGATCACACAAAGAGGTGTTCCGTGCGGGAATCGAACCCGTGACTCGTTGCGCCGCAGCCAGTTGCCCAGCCACCACAAAGCGCTGCCCGTAACATGTGAAGGTACTTTATGTATGTATTCTTTTACAGTATCACCATGAAGAGTTGGTTGGAAGCCAGTGGCATGGACGACGGGTCCATGTCCTGTTTGCTCTCAGAACCACGGGAAGCATTGCTTCCCATCACGGGAAGAGAGAACTTGGCTCCGAGAAAAAGGTAACAAACGCAAGACGTAACAAACTAGGTTTATTTATTACATGAAAGCAATTAAGATGTGTCTAAAACTATACTCCTTCGAAAAATAAAAAAACAGGATTCCCTTTTATCGATTATACCTATTGCTAATTAACTTCTAGACTTCGTACCTGCATTTTAATTGATAACTGCATTTGGTAACTAGACCTAGAAGACATTGTTGGTATAAACCAATCAAAAAAGTTTCATTTTTCCTAAAAATAACATAACATAACATCACGCCTTTTATCCCCGAAGGGGTAGGCAGAGGTGCACATTATGCCACTGTACAATGTAACACCCACTTTTCACTATTTATGTTATGAGTCCCATGTAATAGGGGGTGAGCCTATTCCCATATACCGGGCACAATTTCAGACTCCGTGCTACTACTGAGAATTTTGTAAAAACCCAGTAATACTTTGCCCGACCCGGGAATCGAACCCGAGACCCCTTGCCCGGCAATCGCACATGCGACCACTCGGCCAACGAGGCAGTCTAAAAATATTTTTGTATAAACTTTAAGTAGTAAGTACCTACCCGTATAGATAGTTAGATACATTCATGTTTTAGATATGATATCTCAATAATAAAAGCTAATATTCTAGGTGACTAATATTAAAACTGGAATCACGATATAAATAAAATGTAATAATTTTATTATACAATAGAATACGACAAATCGAAATCTAACTTCAACGTTTGTCATTTTAGGTAACGAAATTGTGGTAATTATATAATTATACCACTTATAACTAAAGCAGCCAGTTTCCTGCATACTGTTCTTTATTACGAGTTCCGGGTGTGGCTTGAAATTAGTCGAGTAACCTTTTCAAACACTTACACTAATACATCTCACGGTAATTATAATTAGTTATATGACAATAAAGTTATCAATTAATACCTGAACTTTAAAAAAAATAATGTTCATTCAATAAAATTCATTCAGTGATTCAGTAGGTACTTACAAATATATGAATAGGGTCGCTGAGACTTTCAGAATCATTGATAACGTTTACTGATTATGACACGTTTATAGGTACACATTTTTCCAATACCTCCCTATGTAGGTACTGTTATTCTGGAATTCTATTTGTGATAATTGATATTTGTTATTTTTTGGAATGAATTTCAATAATGTTTCTTATGATTCTAAACTAATATGTTAGTATTAATTTCAAACAAATTCCTTGGAATAACTATCACAAAATTACTAGATAACTTGAAACTCGTTATCAATAATGAGCGGTGTGCACATAATTATGAGAACAGGATTTTGCTATACTAAATCTATGCCAACTGACCATTGCTGCTCCTTCTTAGGGACAGAACATTGGAGCCGTGTGCACTTTCGGAGGAAGCTTACCTATCAAGCAGTGCTGGCTCCCCTTGCGCTGGTCTCTCGAGAGAAGAACGTCGCAGACGACGCCGAGCTACCTTAAAGTATAGAACTGCCCACGCCACAAGAGAAAGAATCCGCGTCGAAGCTTTCAATGCAGCATTTGGCGCCCTGAGAAGATTACTGCCTACCTTACCACCAGACAAAAAACTGTCAAAAATCGAAATTCTCAGACTCGCTATATGTTATATCGCTTATCTCAATCACGTGTTGGATGCGTAAGTCATAAAACTGATAGGGAAACCTAATCAGTTAATGTGTTAGATATCATTAATTTATTAGTCCCGGCTGCAATTGTGCCGGACAAAAGGCTAGGTCTGGACTAGTAACATTACTGATGAAGAGTGGTTGTAACATTTAATGTGCGAACCTCCTTCTAAGAGGTGCGATGATGATGTTGTTGATTATAAGTGTCGCTCTATTATAGTATATGTGTACCAACTAAGACTCTCTAAATATATAGTCTCGCAATAAAACGTATTTCTCAATCTTTCTTCTTATTATTATTTTACATAGTTTGCATGTTATATCGTGTGTATGTTATATGTATTGTATGTACCTCTATGTTATATCGTTGAACAAATTCTAGTCATAATTGTCTATTCAGTGTGTTTGTGTAAATATCAGTCGGTAAAATAAAAAACTTAATAAAAAATGTTAATACTATTTATTTACAACTTAACTTTCTAGTCATAAGTTTAAATTACAATCATTCATGTCATTGATAACTGCGATACACATTCTATCAGTTATTATATACACCTGAGGTATTATCTTGTATGGTACTCTTATTATTAATTACATTGATATTACAAGATCTAGTTTATTTTTAACATATTATGTGTTTACCTTCTTAAACCGTCCAAATAACTCAATAGTACTGGGAAGAATACCATTCCGTGTAAGAAACCAAGGATAACTAAGCTCAAGAACATCCTAAAGAAAAATACTTCGATAATTTCAGTATACGAAAAGGCCAACACTATGATAGGAATGTTAGTAAATGTAATTCCAGTAATTATTGTGGCTCCTACTTTCTGAATGGCTTCTGCTATTTTTTCATCGCCCTGACGTTGACTGGTAGAATAAGCGTAAGAAATGTGACTACAAAATTCCACGGCAATGCCGATAGATACAATCAAATTAACACAAGATACAGCGTTCAGAGGAATATTCCAAATGTACATGATTCCCATCATATTTACAATAACCAAAATCACGTTAAAAATAACAGCGAACGTTGTTAAAATGTTGAAACCAGAAGCTACAAGATTAAAAAACAAAGCACCAAGAAGGCAATACCCGATGGCCACAAATGTATCAGCCCACATTGTTAAATATTGTTCATAAAATACATAGAAAATAGAATATGGGAACACCTCTATATCAAGACCTGTATGCTTTTTAATAGCAGCCATTATTTCACCACTGATCCTATAGCCGTTATCAACAGCAGTAATATAATCTTTCGAAGTACTTAAGGGTGAGTGATAAGCCATAAAATTCGTATCTTGGACAGTTGCTCGACCTTCCGAATCCAGTAGATAGTTGACTGCTGCTGAATAACTAGCTAAACCAGCTTTATTGCAGATCTCAGTGGGTGGGTCTTGCAAGAAAAAAGGAATATACTTTTCGAATGCTTCCGGTTCAGGCCTCAATCTACCATTAGCGTATTCAGACCGTGAAATATTACAGTGTCTACAGTCCTCTGAATTATCCCCGCTGGCACAGAATCCATAACTTGAAGTATTATATTGACAGCAAACTCCGTATAAACCGGACCAATCGATAAAATCGTCTAACCAGGAATTCGAGGGTTTTGAAATATATGTAATATCACTATGTAGAGTGGCTAAGAATATTTGCATGTTCAAAGAATCTTTATGACACAACTGCCCTCCACAAATAACGTTTTGATGATTAGGATTAGTGTAATTCAAACCGCCTTTAACAACAAAGTATACTGGTGGTCCCATGCGGATATAGCTAGCAAGAGCTTGCAAGTAGTGGTACACGTATGAGTCTGAAGGAAGCGCCATTTCTTGATCTAAACCTATTTCAAGATCCGGAACAAACATCACGTTGACGGAAACCAAAGCCATAAATAAAATAGCTACGACAACTTTAACGCGCCAGTCAAGTATAAATTTTGAATATGGCACCATCAGTCTTTGAGTAACGCCTTTATAAGGAGTTTCAGAATGCAGGGGATTTTCATCATCCAATATTTTTTTCTGAACACAACAGAATATGTCTAACCTATTTTGACTAGTTCTTTTATAGTCTAGAGAAAGTAATGCCACGATAGTAGTTATTTGAAAAACGAACAGAAATCCTAAGGAAAATGTTGCAAATATAGCAAATGTTACTACAGCAGGGAAGTTAGCAAGACTGCCAATAGCAAAACAAGTTATTTGTGTAACCGATGACACAAACATTGAAGGACCGACGCTTTCCAACATTTTTTCGAAGACATATCTTCTCCTTTTTTCGAAACTCCAGTCTTCTTTGTAATCATCAAATGATTTTAAGTTACTTTGAATGTCATGAAGCGTGTTTACCATAAGAAAGACATTATCAATTCCTATAGATAAAATGAAGAATGGAATTACATTAATCGCTAGTAGTGTTAATGTTATCTGGGCATAACCCATTACACCCATCGCGCACACAATTGCTACGATTACGGTAACGATACTACCCAGGGCCACCATTACCTTGCTGTCGATAAACCGAGTTTTGCAAGATCTTACATTTCCTAAAGATATTGTCACATAAATAAACATGAGAATATAACTTATGGCAATTGGTACAGCTTCCGCAACGGAAACACGTTGAATCTCATCTTCTACTGATCTCTCTGCTGAATAAGCCACAGAAACAAACGCTGGATCAACATTATTTTTATACTCATGTAAAAGGTCTAAAAACTTTTGCTCCCATTCTAATACTGGTTCTAGATCTTCGTTCAAAAGAAAGTTCGATATCGGAAAATTAATAAGAAGAGTATTGGCACTTAGAATATCACCAGGTTCGAAACCCCCAAAAGCTAAATCAGGTTCAGCTCCGCCACCCCATGGAGCTAAACAACCAAATCCGTAGTGATTGTTTATACAACTCTGAATCTCGCTAAGATAAGTAGCATTATTAATTGTATTTGTGTTGCTTAAATAAGAGGTAGCAGACATAGACACACAGAGATTAATATCTTTAGGAGAATCTTGTGCTAGAAGTGGAGCATAGCATACATCAGCTAAAGTAACTCCGCCTCCCTCACTGTTTATATTTTTAATTTTATTTTCCAGTTTAACTAATTCCTGTATTGATTCTAAGTGAAATGCAGGGCCGTACCACTGCTCACCATCCTCAGTAGTAACGTTGAAGGGATCCGAATGAAAAGTTAAGAACACTTGCGCCGTGCGATAAAATGGACCAAATCTTTCGTTGAAAAAATTCAATTCCTGACGGCTTCGAGAATCAGGTGCCGACCAAAGTTCTATTGGATTTGAAGTTAAATTCAGATTTATTACACCCCATATCATTGCATACACAACCCAAGATGTAATCATTATTATTAAAACAGGATTGCTCGCGGACATTCCTCCAATCTTCGCGAATAGTACTTGAAACATCTTGGTCATCTTATTCGGCCCAGACGTACCTTCTTTAGTTATTGGTTCTTTTTTCTGCTTTTTAAATTGCACACATGTTAATATAATAAATATTATTACAGTGATACCAAAGAAACCTATCCCGATAGAAAATCCAACACAAGTAAGTGTTAACACATTGCATATATCCGGAACGTAAGGTTTACTATCTGGACATGTACTTATGCAGTCCATACAACTACACGGAAGATCACCCTCGTAAGTTTCATAACAAGGCAAGACTTCTTTGTGCATTGAAGTTTCGTTATCAGATGTCATAATAAAATTTACTTGTACCGGTGTTATAGGATTTGCTTGTGTATCTCCAGTGAATGAAAACCAAGCTTCTGCTGTGCAATTTACTGCACTACCACACATCATGGTTAGAGCATATGTACCTGTCTGTGGCACGATGACATCAGAGCAGGAAGAATGAGTTCCCAACATAAAGTCTTCATGAAGTCTATAGTTTATTTCGTTGACGTATACCTGATTGTCTGCACCTACCTCGGTCTTAACTTCCACGAAACGAGACTGATCGGTTGCACAGTTCATTTCGCAAATTTGCCTTGCAAAATTTCTAAAACAAGTTGGACACCGACCGAGAATACTCTCAGCGAGTGTTAAACTTTCTGCCATACTGAACACTTGCTGTGATGAGCAGCATGTATAAATCTCATCGGCTGGTATTCTGTTTCCTTCATCGTCGATAACAAATGTGGGGCAAATTCTTTCAAATGTTGATATTACATTTTCAACATCTTCATCTTCTACATCTGTAATTATTGGTAATGCTTCTGTATCTGCATAGCATGGCTTTATTTTTCCATCTAAACCATCACATTCGCCACGCATCACACATCTTGCATTAACACTACACCAGAGAGTCAAAAAACACAAAACTGCTATGGACAACTGCATTTTGAATTATTTACTTGGTTTGTACACACTAATTTAAAGCAACATTGCTACTATAACAGAAGGACTGTCATCGCCAAGTATGGCGATATAAATGAAAAAAAATCGGCCGGGCGAATTAATCTAGCTGTTCTAATCTATGCTAAGTAATCGATAGCTTATCAGAAATTAAAGCAGGTGTTGAGATTATAGTGTCATTGATAGCAACAATGTAGACGTTGTTTTACATATTATCTTGAAGACGGTAATAAAAATTAATAAGTAGGTACACAGGTGCAGATGAAGCTCATGTTTCGCCACTCTTGGAGACCTTAAGAGTCCATCAATCTCATTACTGACAACGCAGCTTTGCATTTCTTTGCCACCCATGCTCGCCGTCCGCAGGCCCGCGCTTACGGTGGCCGGAGATCGTCTCGACGCCCGGTGTGTCCTTCGCGATGGCTGGGTTGCGAGGGTATTAGGGCGTTAGGTAATTAAAAAGAATTGAACATCACCAAACATATCCAGACCATCGTATCCAGGGAAATCCAGTGACAAGATGCACAGCACAGAGTCGAAACCATCGTGAGAACATAAAATAAAACAAAGCAAATATGTACATATATGTGATGATTTTCTTATTTATTATGCAAGATACTGCACCAATAAATGTATAATAAATTTATATGAGTGACTGATCATTGGTTTACATTACATTAAGACAAAATACCTTTTACCTTACCATTACATGTTTTTATAATACTATTGATAGCGAACCATGTGGAACACTATTTGATTACACCATTGTTTCCAAAGAGGAGGGTACCCATTAATGATGGTGTAGTGAAATCGTGGATTGGACATTCGAAATTCCCACTTACTATAAGCCTTGCTCTATTTTAATATAAATATGAGCACCAACTAAGGCTCTCTAAATATAATCTCGCAATAAAACGTATTTCTCAATCTTTCTTCTTATTATTTTACATTGTATGCATTTATGACTTACTGCATGTTATATCGTTGAACAAATTCTAGTCATAATTGTCTATTCAGTGTGTTTGTGTAAATATCAGTCGGTAAAATAAAAAACTTGATTAAAAAATT